CAGATTTTACACGAATTCTACCCGAAAAAAGCCTCTAACCTTAACAAAATTAAAGATAACCACCATAAAATTGCCAATAACCACTCAAAAATTACCAATAAGCACCAAAAAATTGCCAATAACCATCAAAATTTAACGATAATCACCGAAAAATTACCAATACCCACAAAAAATTACCGATAACCACCATAAAATTACCGATAACCACCGAAAAATTACCAATAACCATCAAAATTTAACGATAACCACCAAAAAACCACCAATAACCACTCAAAAATTACCAATACTCACCAAAAATTACCGCTAACCACCAAAAAACTACCAATAACCACCAACAAACTACCAATAACCACTCAAAAATTACCAATACTCACAAAAAATTACCAATAACCACCAACAAATTACCAATAACCACCCAAAAAACTACCAATAACCACTCAAAACCCAACGCACCTCGCTATATAATCATAATCCGAGTGTGGATATAGTGACGGGCCCACACCCGCCCCCGCACCGAGACTCATGCCACCCGCGGAGGGTATGGCAGAGGCAGTGCCTCCGTAGAAACTCTTATTGGAGAGTTTAGTGATGTCGTTGATGAGCATTCTGTCGGTGGCATCCTTTCTGCGACGACGTTCGTTGACGAGTTGGTCTTTGATGGCTTGCAGCTGGTTCTCGAGCTGTTTGATGCGGTTGCGTTGCGTGCGGTCGCGATTCTCGACGATACGCTCGTACTGAAACACTATTTTTGAAGTCACGGCGTTACTTTCAACTCGTTACTTTCAAATCGTTACTCTTAAAGTTACTTTTATCGTTACTCTCAACTCACTACTCTTAAAGTTACTTTCTATCGTTACTCTTAACTGGTTACTTTCCCAGAAACTTCATTGAACCGGCTGCGTATAGTTTTCGGCGAGATTCCACACAAAACTACACAAAGTCGTAGCATTTGTATGCATAAAACTACATCAAAAATTAACGAATTCCCCCAATCACGTGATATGCACGTGCAAAATTAACGTACTCCTTCGATCACGTGATAGTCATGCGCGAAATTTAACAGACCACTTCAGTCACGTGCAATATTAACAGATTCCCCACAATCACGTGATATGCACGTGCAACTTTAACGATGTCCTTCGATTAACGCTAAAAAATTAACGAACCCCCCCCCCAAAAAAAGGTCAACGCACCTGAGCCTTCTCATTGCGCACGCTCTGTACGAATCGATCGTNGTAGAGTTCCTTTAATTTTTATTTATTATTTATAAATATTTACGGATCACGTGATAGTCACGTGCAAATTTAACGCATTTAGTAGTTACATTATTATAATAAATATATATCTAAGTAATATATAATATACATAATAATAATATATAATAAATATGATAATAATAATAATAAATAAATAAACAAATAATCGCACCTTATTCTCGCGTTCCAACGCACTCAGCGATCTCTCTATGGCCTCACGTTGCATTGCCGTTTCACTGATCACAGCCTCCGCTTTACGTCTCTCAGCTTCCAGCTGAAAATTTCATGAAAACTTACGAAAATTCATAGAAAATTCCAAAATTCCGAAAAATTTTAACCAAAATTCCGAAATTTCACTAAAAATAACCCTCAACCTACAATTCCATTTTATTTTCTGAACAAAAACTCCAACAAAATATTGAAAATACCAAAAATTAACAACATTCCATACAAATTTCGAAAAAATTCCATTGAAATTCCAAAATTTCACATGGAAATCCGCAAATTTTTATAAAAAATACGTAAAAATTCGTAAAATTCCACTCACCAACTCGATCTTCTTCATCAAACTCAACTTCAATCGCGTCATCTCATCGAATTTCTCCTTAAATATTTTCTTATCCACTTCGAATTGAGCCAAACGACGTTTCGCCTCATCCAATTCAGTCTGAACGGTCTTCTTATCCGATAGCGCTGAGCTCAATTGCTGACGGAGATCGCTTTCGGTGGTGCGATACTGCGAGATGCTCTGAAATTTGCATTATTTTTATTATTTTTTGTTATTATATATTATTTATCATTATATACTAACTATTATTATATATTATTATATTTGCCATCATGTATTATTTACTTTATAGTGTTTATTACTATATAGTACTGTTTACTGTTACATATTATTTATTATATAGTGTTTTTTACTGTTATATGTTAAGAAAAAATCGAAAATTCCATCGAAAGAACCTTTTCCAAAGCGTAAATCTTGTCTGAGAGTCGGTTCTTCTCCGATTG